AAGAATGTATGCAAAAGATGCACTGATGTCATAATAGTAAAAAATATTACCACAACATTTCCATGGATGTTACCGTAGTTCAACACGTGCACTAGTGGCACGTATTGACCATAATGTGCAGGAGTTTCATAATTGATATTGTAATTCTCAACATCAATAATAAAGGAGATAAGATGATCTTTCTCCTCATAAGTTAATTCAGAGCCATCAGTGTAGTAGGTTCTGTCTACTATCTTTCATACATTTCTTGAAGAATGGAAATAAGCTGTCAAATATTTTGAAATAAACAATATACATTACTTAATAAAAATGTTTGAGAAACTCACATAGAGGTAGAAGTGGAGGCGTATCAACATCGACCCAAATGTCGATATTATCTTCGTCGATATTATCTTCATCGATATTATCTTCGTCAGTGCCATCTTTAGGATCACCAAGATCAAAGGTGACATGCATACCCTCCTGAAAACCATACGCCTTGCATAGTGCTTCCCAATTGGAGCAACCGAAATGAGAGTAGGTCACTGCATTGTATAGATTTATGGAAAAAGCATAACCATGATGGGTCCTGAGGTTAACTCTCTTTGTCTCCATATTCTCGTGATCATCGAAATTCAGCTTCTCCAAGACATAACCTCTTGCATGGTAGGGGATGCACTAGTCGAATTGTAAAAAAGCGGAATTACACGTTGATGAAGCACATAAGGCATGCTTAATTACGAAAAACACTTGTCTTCATTGCGTACCCTACAAACATTGAAGGTATTGTCAAATTCACCAGTTTTTTCAAAATTCATGACTTTTTCAAACTGATGAATTGCTTTTCAAATTGACCATTTTTTTCAAAATTCATGACCTTTTCAAACTGATGAACCTTTTAAAAAAACAATGAACTTTTTCCAAACTCATGGACATTTTAAAAACTTGGTGATTGTTTTTTTTTCAATTTTCTCGTTCTGTTTTTCTAAATTCGTGACATTTATTTTCATGTACATTTTTGTGAACTTTTCTCAAATTCCAGCTGTTTTCAAAAACCTGTGTACTCTTTTCAGATTATACCTTTTTTAAAATGTTATGAATTTTTTAAAAAGTCAATTGTCAACCAGCGAAATGCATGCGAGCTTGCAGAGAGATTTTTTAGGCAACGAGCTAAATGAGATGCCTGCGATTTAAAAAAACACCTGTAATTTTATTCAAAGTTATAACAATTACAGTTACACTGATTTGAATCTAAGATGTGAGAAAATACAAAGTAACTCCTAAAACTAAGAATTACAATAAAATCTCTTGGCGACATGTTCTTCGTGCTATCAATCTCTACCAGAAAAAATACTTCAAAAACTTTGGTAAAAAGGCTGCAATTGGACTGGAGCAACGTTGTTGTCCCTCTTTCATCCGCGCGAACATTATCAATAATGTTTTTTGAATGCGCCTTGAGTCGGTCATCCAAAAAAAAGGGAAATCTTGATCGATGAACATACTTGGGTCCAGGATGATCCCTTAGAAGTGCGGGCCGTCAAATCACGATATCTTCATCGTGATGTCGATAACAGATTTCTCTTCGACAAATAATCAATCCAACAAAAAAACTTGACACACCAATATAAACTCATCGTATCCGAATAATCGTATATGTGAGGACAGAAAACTCTCTAATCCCATGGCACCGCTAAAAAAACGAGAGTAATTTTATTCTCACAAAATATGAAGTTCATTAGAAGTTGACGTAGAACATAACAATCTTCCGGTGCGAGGTCACCTCGCGGCACCAAGATGGCAGCCGGAGGCGAGGGGACCAAAGATCCGTGATGGCGGCCGTGGAGGCTGTTGCAGCGCTGTAAAGATACAAGCGACTATGCAAGCGAGCGAGCGATGGTGGGTTGTCTCACTACCCCTAGGCTTCGAGCGCCAAGTGGGCTAAGCGGTGCTTTGGGCATAGAACATAAGCTCTCAGAGATATTACTCTCGATATGGGCGCCCTTATGTCTCTCGCTGTAAGCGAGACAGAGGGAAATCTCACATCGGGCCGGTCGCGCGGGAGGCCATGGGCTCATTTCTTCATTTATTTTTCTTGCATGTTTTTTGATTCCGTGCTTTTTTACATTGGTTTGTACAACAAAAGAACACTTTACATAATTCTTTTAAAAAATGAAAGATGCAATTGAAAAAATTGAATGTGTACAGAGAAAATGTTTCACATGTGTATGAAAAATATATACAATGCGTGTGAAAAAGATGTTCATGTATTTAATTATTTTAATCAAGCATTGCCAAAAAATGAAACAATTATTTTATAAAATTGATCAAGCATTTGAAAAATCTTTAATGTGTATAGAAATAATATTGACCATGTATGCAAAAATAATAATCTTTTATTGTATTAAAAATGTTAAAATTGCATTGTGAGATGTTAATCAACCATTTGAAAATGTTAAATATATATAAAAATAAATATATATATATATATATATATGTCTATAATGTCTGCAAAAAGTTAATCATGTATTTAAACAATGTTAATCAAACTTTTGAAAAAAAAATATTTGATAAGTGTTGACTATGCATCCAAAAAATATTAAATGTGTATAGAAATTTTTTGACCATGTATTCAAAGATGTAAAACTTGCTTTTGAAAAATGATAAATGTGTGTAGAAAAACTGTTGACCATGCATTAAAAAATTGTTGTACTTGTATTTGAGAAATATTGAATGTATATAGAAAAATGCTGACCATGGATTAAAAAAACTGTTGACCATGCATCTAACTCGCTTACTGCGAGCTAGACGGTCCCTCGCCTCAGTTGCTCCTTGTTCAGACCGGCCCGTGTACTAAATTTCCTTATTATTTGAAAAATATCATAGTACGTTAAAAATATTTGTGAAATGTAAACATGTTCATGCAATTTATAGAAAATTATTATATCATACTTTATTATATAATATGTTCACAAGTTTAAAAATATGTCCATACCATATTTTCAAATATTTATGAAATGTAAAAGTTTGTTCGCATATTTTGAAAAAAAATGTCTGTACCACTAAACAAAATGTGTACATGTTAAAATTATGTTTATGATACTGTTTAAATGTTCAAAAAATGTAAAAAATTGTTCACGTAATTCTTGAAAACAAAATTAGACCATTCAAAAAGTTGCTCATGACATTTTCAAAATTTGAAAAGTTCAAAAATATGTTAATGGCATGTCAAAAAACTATTCATAAAATGGAAAAAATATTGGTACAATTTCTAAAAAATATTCATGTCATTAAATGAATTATCATGATTTTTTACAAAATACTTATACCATTAAATAAAATCTTCGCCTGTTTAAAATTATGTTTATGTCATTTTAGAAATGTTCATCAAAATTTAAAAACTTAGTGACATAAATTTTAGAAAAAACTTTGTACCAGGCAATAAATTGCTCATGACATTTAAAAATTAGTCGAACATTTTAAATTTCTATCAAGACAATTTTTAAAATTATTAATTAAATTTAGCTATTTTTTCAATTTCTAAAAACAAATTTGTCATTAAAAAGTATTCAACTACTTAACAATTTTTTTGCATGTTTTACAGAATTGGTTGTGAAAATTTTGAAAAATGTTCAATGTGTGTTTATAAATATTCACTATGTATTATAAATATTCACTATGTTTTATGTATCTGGAAAATATTTTAACATGTATCAAAAAAATATTCAACCGGTATACAAAAAATGTTTAATGTGTATTTAAAAAAGCATGTATTTGAAAAATGAAAAGGAAAAATTCAGTAAAAAATAAAAATTAATAGACAAAGAAAAAGCTGGAAAAAGCAAGATAAACCAATAAATAAATACATAAAAAAATATAGGAAAAACCTGACTGGAACCTTCAGAAATCTGTACGGAAGGTTCCCGAACCAGCAAAACTATTGTGCTATTCCGCTTATGGGGTCTCGCATTAGGCAGAGACATAGTTTTTTAGCTCATGCTCGTATCATCTAGCAGAAAATGAACAGGTGGGTTTCAAATGGCCTGCCATGTTGATATGGGTTCTTGGGTCGTCAATCCCAAGTATTTCTTGTTCCTTACACCACCTCTGGCTGGTTTGTAATGTCCTTAGTTCCCCACGTCATCCCCACCATGCTCGCCCTTGTGCAGACATCTCTACAGCATGCGGCTGCATCGTGATCCATGCAGAGAAAATTCACACCCCACTGACCAGCTTAGCATCGGCGACGGTTAGGGCAGTGAATGAGGAGTTGCGGAAGTGGTGTTGCATGAGAAGCAACGCAAACCCTCGGCGCGCCAGTCTCAAACGGAAATACACA